TATGTCGTGCTTGTTCAATAGATTTTAACGTAAACAAATAACAATGTATGATATGTTTTTGTATTGATGGATAATTATTTAAGCATAATTAAATGTGAAAATAATATTAATATTTTATGAAACCGAACGTTGCATTGAATGAAACCTGTATGAACGAATGATAGAGTGTCATTTTTTGTTTTTTATCTGTGAATGATATTTAATATAATACTAACGTTGGTATTAACTGGTCCTCGGGTAGTCTGCGTTTTGTAATAAGCACACGTTTTAGTGCTGGTATTAACTAGAATATTGTAACAAACCTGGACTTCTTACTCCTAAACTTAACCCAGTACTAAAACATTTTTTTGGAATAAGACTGTATGTCCCTCCCGTATATGACAAACCTAACGACACCCCCATATGTTAAAATCAATAAATGCGTTTAGGCTACAGAGTGCCAAAGAAATAGACATAGGCACTCGGTTAAAAAGGTGCATCTATTTAATAAGAGCTGCAACATAAATATACCATGATCTTAATGTTAACCTTTTAAAACGTCCAAGTTTTATATGAGGTTGAATTCAGTCTTAGATCATCAAGGAAAGATAACAAACACTACGTACCTACATTTCAAGTGACGCCTACGAGCTTTGTCTCGCCAGCATCGCAAAGTCAGGAATTTGCATTTAGAAAAACCCAAAAAAAAGTCTGATGGTGAGTGGATGCTGAGGCACATAGACATCTAAATTTTTTCTCTACACTCACCATACGAAACACAGCAGCATTAAGCTGCTATTTTACACTGGTATTCTGTGAGAGCGTGGTTCCACACCGGTCGAGCCGACCCATTCGTGCTACAGCCATAATAAAGCTGTAGCTTGGCTCTACCACGTAAAAAATAAATAAAGGATAAATCTAAAGGTTTTACAGAAGTTTCTTTTTTAAATAAAAATCGGATTTAATTGAAAAATCAGGCACTGACACTAGCGCATTCGTTCAATTCAATTCGTGCCCGTCCACTCCACGTTTCGTTCAGCGCTAGACTTACGTGCCGCGACTTGTACCTACGCAGACGGAATCCTAAGCATAAAAAGTGTCCTCTCACCAAGTAGAGAACATTTTGTAAAATTTACAAACAAAAGCTAATTAGCACACATACAATTTAGTTGTGCATAAAAAGGTGCAAAATGTCACTATTGTAAAATTAATGTGGTTAGTTATAAAAATGTCATGACAAAGAACTTATATAAAAAAAAAATATATGTGTGTAGATGACACGGGGTAGAAGTGAAAACTTCAGAAAAGGAGACCGAGATAAAAGGAAACAATGTATACTGTATTCTATCTCATTCTCACGCAAACTTATCTATATCTGTCTCTTTTTAATGTTGCTCTTTCGTTTCATCGAGTTTCAAATCACAATGATTTTAAAGAAGTTTTCACTTCCAAAATTAAAATAAATAATACACACAGATTAAATTTAATCCGTAGTACACCTCATTAATGCAGCAGTGTAAGATCCTACGAATATGTAAAACATAGTAGCGATTCTTAACAAACAATTTTAACTAAACATTTTATTATTACAATACATTATAATTAAGATAATAAGTTTAGTGACCAATGTAACCTATGCTTTTAGCCATAAACTAATGATTTCATAGAATAAGGGTGACAAATCAGCACACAGTCCACTTGGTGCTATAAATAGATGCTGTGTCTATCCAAATCTATCCTCAATTAAATATCAAAACGCAGATGCGTTGTCACCCCCGAGGACCAAGATTCAATGCCTCCCTATCAGTAAAAAGATTCACCAGTTTTTGTACTCACCATATTTTTTTTTATAGGATTGGGTGACAAACGAGCACACAGTCCACCTGATGGTAAGTGGTTACTGTGACCCATAGACATCTACATCTATCCTCAATAAAGACTCAAGATGCAGATGCGTTGTCACCCGTGAGGACTAAGATGGAATGCCTCTTTGCCAGTAAAAAGGGTCTCCGGTTCTCTATACTCACCATACGAAACACAGCAGCGTTAAGCTGCTATTTTACGCTGGTTTTCTGTGAGAGCGTGGTCCTTCCCCGGTCGAGCCGACCCATTCGAGCTACAACTATACTACTAATACAGCTGCAGCATGGCTCTACCACGTAAAAGAATATGAAACACATCACTATTTAAAAACACACATATTAAAAAACTGAAGGTAGCCGGGCTAACTATGACAGCAGGACGTCAAACAACTCAGTCCCCCGTGACTACGGGTGCTGGAAAGCACCCGAAACGTCGGGAATATAAAATAAAAAAAAATAAGTTAATATACGCGATAAAATCCGTAAAATTAGTTTTATTTAAAAACACATCACTATTATTTTGCAGTTTCATACTAGTATTCTACGAGCGTGGTCCTTCCTCCGTCAAGTTGACCCATTCATGCTGCAGACATAATATAGGTAACTGTAATTAGCGCACAGGCTAGCTGGCCCTACCATGTTTAACATGTTGTATGTTCCTAATCATTACAAGTCTACTGCTGTACACAAGCCTCCCCTAAGAATGTCCATCTAAAATCTATCAACATCCGGCATCTATTACCAGGTCCTCACTCCATCTTCATTTAACTAGGTCAGTCATTACCATCCTTTATCTCTATGGGAGCTCACCCTACACTTTTACAGGTCCGAGGCTGCCACTCAAGACCTTTTGCCCCATCGGTGTCAGAGCTGTATGGCCAGCCCTCTGCCACTTCGGCTTACTGATATGTTGGACTAGGTAAATTTATATAATTGTATTATCAATAAAAGGTTTTCTTTGTTTACATAACTTTATAAGTTACATCAATAGTTTATTAACCTAAACAAGTATTGAAAATTGTAAGTAATGAAATATAAATAAATACATTTTATTTATTTATATGAAGAAATAAACAGGGTATTTTTTGAGAATCATCATTGATTTGGCTCCTAATGATGTAACTAGCTTTCAACACACAGTCTACTTACTTTAATTAAGATAATTAAAACATAAATAAAGTGCATGTATCAATGCATTATCCATGATAGGGCTGCTCTGTAACTATATTAAAGCCCTAATACACTAGGGGACCTTTTGTCCTGCAACATGATGCAGAACACTCAATCTACGTGATGATAAAACGTTGCACAGTGACCCGCAACATTTTACATGACGCAGACTGAGAGCAGAGAAAAGCACATGGCACGTGGCCTGCAAAATGTTCCACGACATATGTCTTGGGGCATTCCACATAGTCGTAGAGCGACATGTTGTGCAACATTATGCTCTTTTTGTCAATATCAATGTAAGTTGCAATTTAATGCTGTAGTGTTTCGTATGGTGAGTGTAGAGAACTGGAGACCCTTTTTACTGGAAACAAGGCATTCCATCTTAGTTGTTAGGGGTGACAATGCATCTGCATTTTGATTCTTAATCGATGATAAATGTAGTTGTTTATGGGCCACAGCATCCACTCACTATCAGGTGGACTATGTGCTCGATTTGACAGTTTTATTTAATAAAAAAAAAAGCACAATATTAAACTTCTACATAAAAACAAATTGTCCACCTGTTTGTTCCAGCAGATTTAAATTAATTTAAAGGTACCTTAGATAATTTACATTTGTTTTTAAAATCTTATAATAAAAATAGCACAGCTCATTTTTAATTATTAAATAATTGTAATAAAAAATAAAATTAAACACAAATAATTTTATTGAGGGAGTTATGTTAATATAAAATATATAATAAAGTTTGGCCAAGAATGCCAAGGCACGAACTTATCATTACTCTTAACATTCCACAGATATTTACAAATCAATCGCCATCACTATGTAATGACATAAGACTATGGATGAAAATATAAAAACTGTGGTTGCCAAGCATGACAGCTATGGCAAAATTCCCCTTATAAGGCTTGTGTTCTATATTGGACTTCCAATAGGTTGTGATGTACAAATAAATTGGCCAGTCAACCAAAAGACTTGGATATAGTGTCAAATAATAACAGTATATTTAAAGCAGACTTGCAAGAATATTTGGCATTAAGCTTAACCTAATTCTCTATTCCCTGCTCAGGCTAATCCCCTCCTATAACTAGATGTTTACTCTATATTGTGTGGTCCATAATTCATGTATTTAGTTGCTTTGTTTTTATCCACATTTTCACCTAATAACCGCTAACTCCTTTCCCACCGAAAAGCCTCAAGACAAGGTGTGACAGACCAAAGACCGGACATTGGCAGAATTATTGTAACATAACCACAATACCAAGGGCTATATTGATAAAAGAAAAGAATATTTGGCTATTATTCGCTATCTGGCCTATTAGGCTACTTTTATCCTATTCGGTCAAATATTGAATATCTTAGGTACTATTCAACCAAATATCAAATACTTAAGTTAGAGGTTTTATTGTAGTCAAATAATCGGTAAAAAGAAAATAATTATTTAATTTTATAATTTTTTTTTTTGTAATCATTAAAGTAGTCATAGGTACATAATCAACTTCCATACTATAAAAATTAAAAAAAGGTTTATCAGATAAATGCCTGCGCACTCGAATTATCATAATTGAAGTGGAAGGTGATAGTGCAAAAAGACTAATTTTTCTTCATTTTCAGACAGCAGTTTACTCCTCATCTCATAGACAATCTCAACTTCAGAGAATAGACACTCTGAAGAATAAACACTACTTCCTTCCCGTCCTAATACTTTTGCCCAATATTTGGTTATTCGGTCAAGAAGTCTGCAGAATATTCAGTATTCGGCTTGTGGCCAAATATACTATTTGTGCAAGTCTAATTTAAATACATTTTTGTTGAATGAGATTTGATACTTCTAGGTTAAACTACTAACACTTATCAAAAATACAAAAAGGTACAAATGTATTAAGAGATGATAACTTCTAGAGTATTTACCTAAGTCTGTTTGTCGATACCGAACTAATTAACAAAGAGCATATTAACAATCTAATAAATAATACATCATAAACTTGATCATAACCTCTTATGGATACGATTTAAATGAGTCTGTAAGGATTTTTTTGCTTTAAACTTTAGAGAGCAGTGCTCACACTGGAAAGTCAAATTCTTGAATGTATGCTTACTTTTCACATGCTTAGCGAGAAGGTCCTTATTTGTAAACTTTTTCTGACACTTCAGGCAAGAATTCTCGGCCATTATTTGCTTCAGTTTTAAATGCCTGCGTAAACAATAGCGGGATTTGAAAGTTATAGCACAAGACTCACATTTCGATTTGCTTTTCACCTGGTGGCGTGTTCGACAATGAACATCTAAACTGTTCTTTTTAGTAAATATAACTTGACATTCATTACATTCGAAAGTCGCCTCTTTCTGTTGCGCTTGGTGATTGGACGTCATGTGGCGGAAAAAATGACTGTTTTGCGTAAATTTTATCCTGCAGTACTGACAGGTGTATATTAAATTACGTTCGTCTACTTTCTCTTCGGGTGCCTCTTCTAGTTTCCTCGTGCGAAGCGCTGGCCGTGTTATACGAATTCTGGGACCAGTTCTCGGCTTTTTATTCATAACTATGCTGTGTTTAGGCTTTTTGTGCTACTCTCTCCGATTTACTAACATCGATTGTTAACACGTAAGCAAAGGCAATGAGGGCGATTATTTCTTGAGGGTCGCTTAATGATGATCAGATATAATCATAAATAAACGACAGTGATGGATATTACGGTCATATTTACTTAAAATACACGTTAAAGTAAACAAAATATAATTTAAAACAATAGAGCTTAGAATCGAAGTGACAAAATGACAAAGTAAAATATCAAACGTCAAACGTCAGATTTGTTTGGCGCTGCTTGCCTAGGCCTAGCCTAGAAAATGTCAAAGATTTTGTTTTGAAATTATTTGTTCGTCGCCTATTTTCTATGCTCGAAGGTTGACGCATAATAAGACTGTCACTCACCAGGAAAAGAAACAAAAACAGAATCTTTTTGTTCAATATAGATTATAAATAGTGCTTATTGAAAGTCACGCTTTTTCTTTTAATTAGCACTGGTTCGAAAAAACCTCTGTCCTGGGAAGAACCAGCAAAAATACACAAATATACTGGGAAGTCACTCACTGTACCTACTTACGTTTTTACTTACAGTTACTTCAAATTCAAACGGTATGCTGACTGTCCTAAAGTTACTCGCATTGCTACCCCCCACTAACTCCAAAAGCAAAGTAAAGAATTGAAATTAAGAAATAATGTGAACTTGAAATCGCTCCACGTGTATATTATAAATTGTATCCTAAGATATTAGCTAAACGCTGTAGGAGTTAATGTCACCGTCTCTTCAATAAAGTATTCAGACAATTTCACTTGTTTTATATTCTTAATTATTTCCATAATGCACAGACAGGTCGACCAGTGCACAGTAACTTCCGTCGCCGCTATTATAGATACTTTTTTTACACACACACAAAACCTAACAATCGTTTTTTACACCTACAAAGCCAAAGCAAAAAAGCAAAAAACAACGATTCTTTTATCTCTTTAGAAAATAGTAGCATTGCAATTAACATTAATAATATTCTCTTTAACTACTTCTGGACAGCTTAAACTGCTTATCTTAGGTGTGGTTCACGACATTAGTCGAATGGCAGATTCTAATCTACGACCTTTGAATTCGCGGTACGAGTACACACCTACCATTAGACTACTGTCGCTTTATTTGTAATATTCTAACAAAAAATAAAAAAGTATATTTTCAAACGATTTTTGTTTTATTCACATTAGGTATTCCTAATACACTAGCACATTGAAAGTTCTGCGCTCCTGGCCGCTGAATAAAGTTTGAATTTAAAATGTTATTTTTTTTAAAACATCAGGAACTCTTATTAAAATGATTGGCTGGAAGTCCCGTGTCATCGATATTTATATATGTACTAGGCACTAGATTTCGCATTCCGAACATTCACTATGTTCAACTGAACTGTACTGCAATCCGTACACCTTACTTTAATGTCATTTAGTGTGGCTTCAGTATTATAAAAAGTACTCTGTGGTGTGGCTTCAATATTCATGCAGTGTGGAGGGGCGCTAATAATACGAGATTTCAAATTAAAGTTTATATCTGGACGTAAATAACAATTCATTAGTCTAGTAACTAAAATTATTTGTCGTTCAAGTTAATAAATAGGTAATAATATCGTAATATTTTACTATCCACCACGCATGCGCGAAGACAGAGTAGCGGACATTTTTGTTTGGAATAGCTTCTCTAGTACGTAGTACATATAACTCAATGTCCCGTGTCAATTGTTTAAAAAAAAGCATTAATGCGAAAAGATTTTAGGCCCACGTTTTTTTATGATTTTAAAAGTTCTCTCTGTCCGCAAGTCTTTCCCTCTCACTGCTAGTCTTCAAAATACTTTTGGGAGGGAAGAACCTATTTTAAGCACTGTAAGGCGTTGGTAAGTAGAATTTGATCGTGGCTGGTGAAGGTCTGAAGGTCAAATAGTATATAAACACATCAACAGAATCTAGGGATAATATATATTTCATCAAATATCTAAGAATCTGAAGTATTTTCTGATATAGTAAATGGAAGAATGATAGATATTTTAAGGTCTTTAATAAAAAATAAAACATTTCGTATTTTTTTTGTTTTAAATAAAAATGTTAATTTTTTTAATCGCCGTAGAAAATTTGTATGATAAAAAACTTAATTTCTTCACACAAAACTATTAATTTTAATTAAAATTGAAAAATCTTATAAAATCCAATTATTAATAATCAGTGTTGCCACCTCTTACATTAATTACACATCGACATCGATTGTTCATACTACTGCAGGAAGACACTGACAATTTAATTTTAAATTGTCAATGTCTTGCTCTGGTATGAGATCCCATGTTGTTTGCAAGTGTTTGTTAACTTGTTGTTCCGTCGTCAAATTTGGCGGTAAATCTCTCAAAGCTTTTCATTGTAATATGTCCCAGGTATGCTCGATAGGATTTAAGTCGGACAACTGTGCAGGCCAATCCAAAGCTTGAATATCGTGTTCTCGGAGAACGACCGACAGCAGCCGCCACGTATGGGAAGGAGCAATATCGTGCACAAGCTAGTGATGCCAGTTTCGCGACTCCACAGAGTCAGTAATTCATTCTTGGGGCAATGTATACGCTATTACAACAAGGTCCCGGAAAGTGTAGATGTTCTCTCTATTACCAAGTTTAAATGTTTTATTAAGCTGAAACTGTATTAAAAGGGTTATTATGGTCCCCACTCACGGTCAGTTAAACTGTTCAGTTTAACTGATGTACATCCAAAAACTGACCGTGAATGTGAAATCTTAAGTTGAAATTTTTAACTGAAGGCAACACACGGATTTTATTCGGGCGTGCTGTCAGTTAAACTGCTCCGTTGAACTGAAGTACATCCAAAAACTGATCGTGAATGTGAAATCTTAAGTTAAAATTTTTAACTGACGGCAATCCACGTATTTTTCCGGGCGCACCGTAATCCGCTGGTTTCAGTTCGTTTTCATTATTGGTAAGTACATACTTTCTTACTACTTTCTTAGTAGCTTTTATATATATTTTATAATTTTTTATAACATTCTTTATGATTTTATATTATTTTATATATTTTTTTCATTCAAAAAAAACGTTACCCCCACACTAGGATTTTCTCCTATATCGTGGAGGCAGTTTACAAACACAAATTGCACAAGGACAAACATCCAGACCCGGAACAATCATTTGTAGGCCATACAAATACTGGTTCCGTGCGGGATTCGAACCCGCGCCGCAATTCATTGCTAAGCCACTGCGCCACCGAGCCGTCATATATATTTAGAGAAGTTGCTTTGACAGAGGATGGAGACCAAGGTGATGGTAATGATGTCACCTTCCTTATAGTGGACTCAGAAGGTGGGTAAAGGATCTCAGTGATGCTACTACGTGGACTCATTTTCAATTAGGTAAATGGAGACCTAGATGACTGTGATGATATCACCTTTATGTTGGTGCTATCCGAAGGTGGGTATAGGATCTCAGTAACGACACTAGATAGAAAGACCGCGTTTGAACTCATTTGAATGGGCTCATAAAGACCTAGGTGACTGTTAGACCTCACCTTTTTGATGGTGCAATCCGAAGGTGGGTATAGGGTCTCAGTGGCGGCACTAGATAGAACGGTCGTGTTTGAACTCATTTAAAAGGGCTCATAAAGATCAAGATGACTGTTATGACTTCACCTTTCTGATGGTGTAATCCGAAGGTGGATATAGGATCTCAGTGGCGGCACTAGATAGAACGATCGTGTTTGAACTCATTTGAAAGGGCTCATAAAGCCCCAGGTGACTGTTATGACCTCACCTTTCTGATGGTGCAATGCGAAGGTAGGTATAGGATCTCAGTGGCGGCACTAGATAGAACGATCGTGTTTGAACTCATTTGAAAGGGCTCATAAAGACCTAGGTGACTGTTATGACCTCACCTTTCTGATGATGCAATCCGAAGGTGGGTATAGGATCTCAGTGGCGGTACTAGATAGAACGGTCGTGTATGAACTCATTTGAAAGGGCTCATAAAACTTAGGTGACTGTTATGATATCCCCTTTCTGATGGTGCAATCCGAAGGTGGGTATAGGATCTCAGTGACGGCACTAGATAGAAGGATCGTATTTGAACTCATTTGAATGGGCTCATAAAGACCTAGGTGACTGTTATGATCTCACCTTTCTGATGGTGCAATCCGAAGGTGGGTATAGGATCTCAGTAACGGCACTAGATAGAAGGATCGTGTTTGAACTCATTTGAAAGGGCTCATAAAGACCCAGGTGGCTGTTATGACCTCACCTTTCTGATGGTGCAATGTGAAGGTGTGTATAGGATCTCAGTGACGGCACTAGATAGAACGATCGTGTTTGAACTCATTTGAAAGGGTTCATAAAGACCTAGTTTAATGTGATTATATTAACTTCATGATGGTGAACAAAGAAGGTGGGGTGAAAGATCTCAGTTATGCCACTTCGAAACACCATCGTGTTTGGGCTCATTAGGAAGGGCTCAAGAAGTAACTACACAAATAATATAAATATAATAAATAGTACAAACAGTATTATTACTCACTTTATAATGTTTTCAGGCAATTAAAAGCAGCAAAACTCCTAAGTAGGTACAAAATTAGAAATCGACCATATATTTTACAGGCAATAAAAAAAGGCAGAACGGAAAAAGCATAACCAACTACAACCAGAAGACGAAAATATATGTGTACTTCAAGAAAACCTACAAGCACCATTAGCACCAATTCCTATAAATGACCAAATTACCTGTACGCAGTATTTAGAATTGAATGATTTTTGACTGATTTATTACACGAATACTACACATTTAATAAAACAAACTTTACGGATTTTATTTTGTATAACTTATTTTAATTCATGACGTTTGTGTGCTTCAACTTTAGTATGTAACACGTCGAGAGCTCAATTAGATAAACATAAAAAGCTAGGCCATCCTAACTATTTCCGTTACTGAAAACCGATAAGCATTATCTGGTCATCATAAGACCTTCA